AGGCTGAGTTACTTTTTTATGGTTTCTCCTTCTTTCTAAGGCACTGGTTGCTAAATATATCTTTAGGGAAAACAGCCATATCATGAGCCTGTAAGTAAATTTTAAGCTATGAGTATATCCCTGGGAACAGTCTATGTTTTAATGATTATGCCTGTTGTTAATTCTGCTGCATTTCACCTAGGGATTCTGGGATGGCCTTTGTATTGGTTGTTTCCTTTTCCCTTTTTGGCAATAACTTTCTTTTCATTCCATGCATTTATTAGGGCTTTTGTTTTCAGAGAATTTGCCTAGTATTGTTTCATGCCCTGGAGACTGTTAGTAGGCCTAGTGTTTGTTTGTTTGTTTTTTAAATACTAAGCATCATTATAAAGAAGTTTTAAAAAACTTAATTATGGAGAATTTCAAACACAAATAAGAAGAGACTAAAGTGTGTAATGAATCATTGACCCTTCACCCAGCCCCAGCAAGTCCTGTCCTGTCTACACCCCGTCTACTTCCTCCACCCTGTATTCTGATGTCATAAATATTTAGTTAAGTGTATTTCTCTGAAAGATAAAGGCTATCTCCTAATACCGGGATCGGGCCTAAATGGGCAGTTGGACATCCCTCTCACAATCCAGGACTGCTGGCTCCCAACCACTTGCCTGCCTGCCTGCCTGATTTCCCCTAACTGCTTCTGCCTGCCAGCCTGATCACCCCCTAACCACTCTCCTGTCAGCCTGATTGATGCCTAACTGCTCCCCTGCTGGCCCGATTGCCCCCGACTGCCCTCTCCTGCAGGCCTGGTCCCCCCCCAACTGCCCTCCCTTGCAGACCCAGTCCCTCCCATCTGCCCTCCCCTGCTGGCCATCTTGTGTGTTGGAGTGATGGTCAATTTGCATATCACCTCTTTATTATTTAGGACTAGGGGCCTGTTGCAGGAAGATTCTTGCAAGAATAGGGCTTCCTGCGGCCAGAGCGAAGCAGAGAAGGGAGTGAAAACCCACTGAGGTGGGCTTCGCTCCCGCCTCCGCCTCCGCCTCCGCCGCCCCGCTTGCTTCCCTCCTGCCTCCGCCGCCCCACTTGCTTCTCCGCAGCTTCACTCCCTTCTGCAGCGCTTGGCGTCCTTCTATGTTGTCTTCAGTCTTCACTCAGCGCCTGTGTATGCAAATTAACTGCCATCTTTGTTGGGTTAATTTGCATACTCATCTGATTGACTAGTGGGCATAGTGGAGTGACACCAATTTGCATGTTTCTCTTTTATTAGTGTAGATGTTATTCTCATGCCAAAAAAGTTAATATTTATCTTATAGGGAGATACTTTAAAGGATATAAGGGGAGGAAAATTTAGTCATATAGTGCCAAAAGTCACTCTTTTCATTTTTTTTTTTTCCTGTATTCTCCCGTTTTGGTAAAAATGATAGCACTCTCAGCTCCTTTGCAGCTTTACTGGATATCAAATTTATGATTGGGGCAAAACCATCAGCTCCCTGTTCCGCCATCTAAGAGGACCCAAGGTTGTCTCTTTCAGCTGGACCCTGTGCACACACTCTGGGTAATTCCCAGAACCTCTTTCAACTTCTAAAGCTTCCTTCCTTTTCATTCAGCAAATATTTATTTAGAAACTCATTGTTTTAGATGCCAGGAATTATAGTGGAAAAGAAGACAAAAAGGGCCCTAGAATTCTTGGAGCTTCCAGTTGATAGGGGAGCAGGCCTTCCTCATATAACAATATTAATGGTCACTTCATTATGGTTGTGGATATCTCAGAGACCCAAGCAGGTGGAAGGACCAGTGAAGATGACCTTGAGGGAGGCCTTTCAGGGCCCTGCAGACAGAGCGAATAGCCTGTGTAAATGCCCTGAGGCAAGAAGGAAGGTGGCTGATAAAAGGACAGAAAGGAGGCAGTGAGGCTGGAATGGGGAGGAGGCTGAGGGGGAGATGGACCATAGGAGGCTGGAGGAGAGCCTCCCCATCCTGGGCCCACCTCTTCCCAAAGGCCTAGGACCCTGAGGTCTGGGCTGCCACATGGAGATGTGAGTTCCAGTTCCTCTCCTGACTCTTGGCTACGTTGAAAGCATTGTAGTCAAAGAAGGAGCTTACATTTGACGAGACATAGACAGGCACTTGAATGCTGCCACCTTGGAAGCACTAAAATCACATAGGAGGGTTATTGTGAGGATTAAAAAATATTGTATAATGCCCTAACCGGTTTGGCTCAGTGGATAGAGCGTCGGCCTGTGGACTGAAAGGTCCCAGGTTCGATTCCGGTCAAGGGCATGTACCTTGGTTGCGGGCACATCCCCAGTAGGGAGTGTGCAGGAGGCAGCTGATCGATGTTTCTCTCTCATCGATGTTTCTAACTCTCCCTTCCTCTCTGTAAAAATCAATAAAATGTATTAAAAAATATTGTATAATAAAATGACTAGACAACAAATGTTTTCCCCTTCTCTTTCTTCATAAACGTTCCTTCCCCTTCCCTTCACAGCTCAGTAGCTCCTCACATGGCCTCAGGAGCCCTCTCCTTGTGGTGTGGCCCCTGCGGGTGGGCCTGCTCCTGAACAGAGTCCTGGGCTGGGCCCTTCCCAGTGGCCTGGTCTTGATTCTTTTCTTGCTCCTTCCTTTTGATGTTGGGGAGACCCTTACTCTGTCCCCTGACATGTAACAAAGCCTGCAAGTGGAGAGATATACTTAGAGCAGGTGGAACTGGGCTTGAATCTAGATGTGTGACTTAACTTCTCTGAACTTTAGTTTTATTTTCACCCTGATTTCGTAATAATTTTTAGTTCTTTGAAAATTAAAATAAAAATTATTAATTCAAACATAATGCCTTTTTAGCCCCAAAATCAAAGAGTATAAAAGAGAAAAAAATGATATCCAGTTTTACTGAGGAAACTGGCATTAAAGGTCTGAATTACATCTTTCTAGATGTTTTATACACACAAGCACACATTCTTAAAACAAGAAATGGGAATATGAAAATTAGTATTTTTTTACTTAAAGGATCTTCATATCTTTCCATGTGCAAAACTTTTAGATCCATGACCCCTAGAGTGGTGCTTCGCAGACCCCGTTGTCCTTGGCCTTGTTGGTATGTTCCTCGTGGCGGTGGCCCTCATTTCCCCTCATGGGCAGGAAGGCAGAGTCCTCTGTGTCCAGCCACCTGAGCGTTTTCCTGGATGCTAATCCACCCGTGGAGGGTGTGCTTTGCAGAAATGCATCTCACCAAAGCCTTATGTCATCATCAGCTTGTTTTGCAGGAACCGGGTGGGGTCCGTGGCTGAAAGAGCATGCTTTTGTTTCCTGGTACAGGGGAGTTTCATTAGAGCGTTTCCTCTTCCTAATTCCATGCTTAATAAAGCAGGGATATCTAACCCCAGCTTGTCACTCCACCAAGACCCATTTAACAGCCCATTCACCTCAACTTGATGGACAATTTCTAGAGTTCATCAATGCCTGTGGGACAAGGGTGAGGGATTCAATTGGAAGTATTTTCCAGAATCAAACGTAGAGGGTCACAGTTCCTCATATCCCATCTCTCCCCAAGTATGTGCAGAAGGGTAGGAAGCAATGAATATTTTGTTGTCTTTTTTAAAAAGCTCACATTATCAGCAGACAATGCGAAAGGGTACACAGTAAAAAACTGACAGTTATCCTGATCTCTAGCTCCCCTGCCCCACCTGCTGTCCTTCCTTTGAGGTCATCACTATTAATCATTTGTCATGTATCTTTTTAGAGTTTTCTAAATTTTAAATGGGATTATAAAGTACTCCTTATTCTTCCACAAATGAATGATTTTAAAATGCAAATGACAGTTTGATATGTCAAACATATTTACCTGGGAAGAATTTATGCAAAGGTGACCTAAAAATGAGTGGGAAAGCGGAGTGGCCGCGATGGGACCCAGGCTTCTGCGCTGTGATTGCTGAAGTACCAGGGTCAGCCCCCAGGACAGCTGGGGCTCTACCAGGTTGTCTGTGAAATCTCAGTCCCTGGTCTTGATTCTTTTCTTGCTCCTTCTTTTCAATATTGGGGAGACCCCTACTCTGTCTTCTGACATATTTCAAAGCCTGCGAGTGGGGAGATACACTTAGTGCAGATGGAATTGGGTTTGAATCTAGATGTGTGACTTAACTAATGTGTCTCTGAACTTTAGTTTTACTTTCGTTTTCTCGGCTGTAAAGTAGAGAAGACAATCACTATGTGATTGTGAGGATTAAGTGGCTGTGAGGATTAAGTGTGCTAAGGAACAGTTCTAGCTTATAGTATGTACTCCACAAGTCTTAATTTCTTTTTCTCCTGCTTCTTGAGCCTTCATTCTAGAAAGGTATGTTAGGACTTGGGCATATTACTTCTTCCTAAAGGTATTTGCATTCCAAAGCTGATCAAAACTTTAACTGAAGAAATTAAAGTGGGAAGATACTTTTGCAGTGAGGTCACGCCCCTCTGCCTGTTTTTTTTGAAATATTGTATGAATAGTCACAACAGGTGTGTACTCAGCCTACAGGTTGTGCCCTTTTCTCAGAGCTGGTCCTAGGGTCAGACCAAACCTCAGAGGACAATTTGGCTGCCAGAGGGGGCCAACATTTCCCCCCAGGTATCTCAATCCCATGCACTTGAGGCCACATATTCAGTGAGGAGGTTGAAGGCACACAGAAGAACTGGTATAAGGGAAAAACAGCGTTACCAAGAATGTCAGAGTTCAGACACTTGCTCTTGTTATTGGGGACAACACAAATCTAGCCCTTTTGTGGAATTAGAAAAAGGCTCCTCTGGGAAGATGGGGCCCTGCAGATGCACTTCTAGGTGGATGGACAAGGCCTTGGAGAAATTAGAGAAAGGCACTCTTCCTCCAGGGTAAAGGCAGGCTCTCCCCAGGCCCAGTGAAACTTGGTGAGCAGAGACTGGCAAACCAGTGCTGGGCACAGCCCGCATAACCATATACAGTGGACCTGTTGTTACAGCTTTCTTCACACGGCCTAAAGCGTCACTATTCATTTTTCTTTTCCTACTTTTTCCAGCATCCTGACCCAAGCAATGGGGAGCCAACCAGGAAACTTCCTCAGGGCGTTGTCTATGGTGTGGTGCGAAGATCAGATCAAAATCAGCAGAAAGAAATGGTGGTGTACGGGTGGTCCACCAATCAGCTGAAAGAAGAGATGAATTACATCAAAGATGTGAGTCACTTAAGGATTTTTTTTTGTTTCTGGTTTATACTCTCTCTGTAGCATGCAAGAGGGTGGAGTTGGAGCATTGGTGTGAATGTAACACGTATTTTGGGAGAATTCTTAGCGTTATCACTTTGGATGGGAATGTTTCTACATATCTTTATGGTCCTGTTAAGAGTACAGATGTAGTTCTTCAGTGAGGTCTACAATGAGCTTCTGGGTGTTACTTAGTAGGACTGCCCAGGAGACCAGCGACTTTCTTATTTTGTGTATAGCAGTGGTTCTCAACCTGTGGGTCGAGACTCCTTTGGGGGTCGAACGACCCTTTCACAGGGGTCGCCTAAGACCATTGGAAAACACATATATAATTACATATTTTTGTGATTAATCACTATGCTTTAATTATGTTCAATTTGTAACAATGAAATTGGGGATCACCACAACATGAGGAACTGTATTAAAGGGTCAAGGCATTAGGAAGGTTGAGAACCACTGGTGTATAATATGGGGGCTCTTAATTGGTTTTGCTTGTTCTATTGGACATTCCTAATGAATGAGTTTGGACAAGTGTATAAATTTGGATGATTTTAGATGCAGGTAACGGAAAAGCCAACTCAGAAGGGCAACTTGTCTCGTGTGGGGATTAGTCTAGGGGTAGGTGGCTCCAGGAATGGCATTTTCCAGGCTCTGGTCTATTTCTCTGAGTTTCCCTTGGTTCGTTCCTCCTTCAGCCTCGGGCTCATAGTGTCACCTGAAAACATGACAGTGTCTGGGGAAGAAAAGGAATCTCTCATCTCTGATCACTCTTTAAAGGCCTCCATTAGGCTTCTCCTTATGTCTCATGGGCCAGGACTGGGTCAATGCCCGTTCCCGAATCCATCACTGGTGTGGGAATGGCATGACTGTGGCTGGTTAAGACCAATCAGTTGGTTTGAAACAGACGCTGAAAAGTCAACCCAATAGACATTGTTAAATCCAGACCAATCAATGCCATTTCTTTGAATTTAATATTACATTTCTAATATTTTGAATTCATGTGTGTGTGTGTGTGTGTGTGTGTGTTTTAGAAAATTTGGAAAAGACAAAAATGTAATAAAGAGAAAACAAAATCACCCATAGTTCCACCATTCAACCAGAGCAGTTGTTAGCATTTTGGAGCATTTCCTTCTAAAATTTTTGTACCTATTTATCTGCTATATATCTCCATTTCTCTTTGGTTCTTTGGTTTCTGTAGATTGACCAATGCCTTTGTTGACCAAGCTAGAGTGATTACATAGAGAGAAAATGAGCTTCTGTGACATTTATGGCCCCTAAACATTGACCCATGGACTAGAGGTGCTCATGAGCAGCAGGGCATTGTGGGGCCATGGAGTACCTCATGGGCCTTGGTTCAAGGTCCAGCTCTCTGTTTGGCCCAGCCAACCTTTAGCCCTCTCTAGGCTTCAGTTTGCTCATGCATAGATCATGGAGCTGGGAAGGGACCCTTGAAGTCAAAACCTGTATAGGAGCAGCTTGGACATTTGTAGCCTTCTGTATTTTTCTCATGGAAATGCTTGGCCCTTCATTGAAACGCCCCAGATAACATGACACCGCTTCAGAGGTGAATCTTCTCAGCAGGGTGGAGAGTTGCAAATCACTCAAGACAAAGACAGCAGGTGCAGGCTGGCTGTGGACCAGGATGACATGAGCCCAGCTCACAGGGGTGGCTCTGCCTTGAAGTGCCCACCTCCATTGTGCTCTGCAACTTAAAAGTCGTCTCCAGGTCCCCTTTTGATAGCTGGCTTCAAATCCATCATTGGCCTGCTCCTTCCTACGCGTGTCTATGGGATTGTTTGTCCTCTCTCGCTGGATTCCTGGGTGTTTGCCACCCAGCTGAGGATCACGCCCACTGCCCACTGGTGGGCAGCGCGAGACACTCAGGGCACGGGTGAGACATTCTGCCTGCCCTCGGTGGAAAGTAGTGAGTTTGGCCCCATTTCCCCAAATTGTTTGTAGTTAATGGCAGAAAAGTAGGCAATTATTAATTTTTATTTTCCAATTATAGTTTACATTCGATATTATTCTGAATTAGCTTCACATGTATAGCAAAGTGGTTATAAAATGGTGTACCTCACAGAGTGGTCCCCCTGCTGCTTCCAGTACCCACCTAGCCCCATACATAGTTATCATGATCTTATTGACAGTATTCCCTGTGCTGTAATATGCATCTCCGTGACTATTCTGTAACTACCAACGTGTACTGCATGTTTTCCACATAGCCCCCAAACCTCCTCCCCTCTGACATCTGTCAGTCATTCTCTGTATCTATGAGTCTGTTTCTATTTTGTTGAAAGTATACTATTATTAGAATTCATCTGGGGAAGGCTTGGCATCTTACTTAACTGCCCTCCCAAATCTCCACCAATATCCAGTCACCCCTAATAAACATGTCTGATTTTAAAACGAGCTAATTCTGTAAAAGCAACTTCAAGATTGAGTCCCCTCTGCTGTCCCCTGCATGCCTGTGGTTGCTCTAACCTTTGAGCCCTTCCTGTGGTGGAAGCTCCAGAGATTCCCTGTTCTCTCTGCAGATCCTTGAGTGCTTTGCCCATCCTGGGGGCACCAGATTATTGGGGGAACTGACTTCCAAATTTATGGGTTTTCCAGGACTCATACTCCCCTGCATTACATTCCAGACATTTAATTGGCAGTCAGAGCAGAGCTAGGGAAAATTAGAGGTTGCTTTTGCTTATTGGTCCTCTCATCTGTGTGTTTGCTGACAAGTTTTAAAAATTTTTCTACTTGTAAAAAAAACGTGTGATAGGAAAAGGGGCAGACTTTGCCTGAATTGTGGTTTGAAGGTGATGGGTGAATTTCAACAAAGCATTTTCTCTCCAGGGTTTATTATTTGTATAATTAATACTTGTTAATGATTATAATTATATATAATCATAACATGTTGTTATTATTAACATAATATAATACCCTTGGTTTCTAACCAGATATCAGGAGTGATCTTATTCCTTAATTTCCCAAATTGTCCTGTTCTTAAGATTGTTGTAGTGGTAGGAGGCCCTTTTCTTATTAGGATTTCTTAAAAGATTGGGAAATCTCACATGAAAACGTTATAGCTTGCTCTCTAACCAGCATCTTTGTGGGCTGCAGGTGAGAGCCACCTTGGAAAAAGTAAGGAAGCGGATGTACGGAGACTATGATGAAATGAGACAGAAGATTCGGCAGATCACCCAGGAGCTGTCAGTAAGTCAATGTCTCGGTGACGTGGGCCTATGGAGGGGTGACAGAACCTAGAGCTCCCTCTCAGTGGCTAGTGTCGGAAGGCATTTGAGTTTATGATGTTCTTTATGAGTGGGATCATGTTTTAAATGAACTGAGGGAATTTTATTACAGATTAAAGTTATCGTTTAAAGGATTTTTTTGTTCGGAGCAAGAATACTCTTCCTTATATCAAAGTATTCCCTCCAAGTTCAGGAAGAAGACAAGGAAGCCAGCTGTCACCATATTAATTATCATTGTGTCTGAGGTCCTAGCCAGTGGAATTAAACAAGATAAATAAATTTAGAGGTATAAAAACTAGATAGGTAGGTGTAAAACTATCACTATTTATAAACTATATGATTATGTACCTAGAAAGTCCAAGTGATTCAATGAAAAAAAATTCTATAAACAATAAAAGAAGTCTGTAAAGTAGCAGGGTGAAAAATTAATAGATACAAAGAAAGAGGTTTCAGTGTATAAAAACCAACCAGTTAGAAGAAATAACAGCAACAACAACAAAAAGAACCTACCAAATATCTAGGAGTAAACGGTAACCAGTGGAAAGACATACCACGTGCTTAGAATAGAAGATTCAACATTATAAAATGTCAGTACTATCAAGCTAATATACAAATTTAAGATAAGCCAAAATACCAACAGATTTTTATTTTAAGTTGTTTTTCTACAACTGGAACTGGTGATTTCAAGGAATATAGAAAATAAATATGAAGAGTTGGGGAAATTCTGGGGGGAAAATACCAATGAGGGAGACTAGCCCTACTACCATTACAAGAAACTGAAAAAGCCCCAGAAATTAAAACAGTATTGGCACATAAATAAATAGGCATCAATGAAAAAAATTTAGAAATGTATCCCAATGTGTGACAAATGTAGCATCTCATATAAAGGGAGGAAAATGGACCAGTCAGTGTGTACTGTGGTGACAACTTATGTGCTGTTGGGACAGAATTATATATGAATCAATTCCAGGGAAATTATATCTCTACAATAGAATACAGAGTTGTAAAAAGAGAGAGAGAGAGAGAGAGAGAGAGAGAGAGAGAGAGGCAGTGAGAGAATGAAAAGAGTGACTAAGCTCTTCAAAAGGAGATGGAACGATTACAAAGGTTATAGAGTAGATGACGAAAAAGCAAGATTCAAGATAACGTAATGTAATGTAATGCTACCACTTATGTAAAACAGGGAGGGTAAATAAATGTATCTAGATTGTTTTGCGTGTGCACAAAAAGTTGCTAAAAACATAATCAAGAAAGTAATTAACAGTGATTCTTAGTTGAGGGGCAAATTGGGAAAGGCGATAACTAAGCAGATGAGACTGGGAGATTTATTTTAGTGCATACCTCTCACACTTTTTAAAAGTTTGAACTATGTGACTGTTACTGCATCAAAATTTAAGAAAAGACAACCTTCCTCTGATTTAACCAAGCTAACGCTTGTGAGAAAAGTTAAAAAACAAAATTTGTGATTAATAATCTTGAAGAAAAAAGTCCATGTGTCTATGACATATTCTCCATAAGAGTTAGTCATTGCAGGACCGGAGCACAGTTACAACAGCCACACATCAGAGTTTACTTTACGGCTTGGCTGTGAGAGTATCTGCTTAAGACCTACTGCCTTGCTTATAGGGGCAGGGGTTCATAAACACATCCACCCAGCCATTCTCCCTGGCACGTAGGAAGCGATTTGTAAAATTCTCTCCTACTAATGGAAATTCACTCAGCTAGCCAGTGACGGACACTAACAACTTTAATTAACACTGAAGGATTGGATTTGCTAAGATGAATAAACAGGTCTCGGCTCACCCTTGTTGTCTCATGCCAGAACTGTCACAGGAGCTTGTCTCTCTGTCTACAGCCTCCTCCTCCTCCAGGCCACACCACACACTGCAGCCAGACTGATTGCTAAACTACTGCTGTGTGAACACGCCCTGAACAACAGCACGCCACCCGCTCCGGGTCCTGGCAGGCTGTTTCAGCTCTCTGTCCCATCCCCAGGGTGCACCTCCTGTATCGTGCTGGCTGCTTTCTGTGGCTCTCACAAGGATCACCTTTGAGCCTACCCAGGTCCCTTCCCCTAGCTCTGCTGCCTCCCTGCCCTGCTCTAGCCAGCCCTCCTAAAAGTTCTAGCTCAAGATGGGCCTCTGATGAATTCTCTCAAAGTATCAAATGCACACACCCAACCAAGACAACCCAACAACAGCAGCAGCCACAAAACAACTCTTGAGAAAGGGGTGAGCCCAAAGTACATTCTTTCTAGGGTGGGTAGAAAGAACAATAGGGCCAAGAAGATATTCCAACTGGGTTAGAGTCCCAGCTGTGCCACTTCTTAGCCCTTTGTGTGCAAATTCCTTACCTTCTCTGATTCTGTTTCCTGCCACACAGTGTTGTTGTGAGGGCTGAGGCCCAGTAGGTGAATGTGTACAAATTATCCGAAGGAAAAAATCTTCTCATCTCTCTGGTCTCTGGGTCCTGCAGATGTTGACTTTTTAATTTGAAGCTGTCCATGAACTGTCATTGAGGTGGATGTGGCTACTGTCAGGAGACTCTTCCAGCCCACACAAAGGTTACTGGGGGTGTCTGCGTTGGTTTTGTGAAACTGTCTCTTCTCTCTGTCCAGGTTTCACAGGCGCAGAAGGACTACCTGGAGAATCACATCGAAACACAGTCGTCGGCCCTGGACAGCTTTAATGCCACGAACTCAGCGCTGGCGTCAGACTCCATTGACCTGCAGGTATTCCTCTCGCTGGTCGGTGGGGTGCCGTCTGCTGGAGGGCAGGCAGGCCTAACCAGAGTGGCCCTGTGCCCTTGTAGAAACAAATGCGAGTCACCGAAGAATGTCCTCAGTCCTCACACAGAACCCTTTAAGCTTGGCTGCCGTCAAGGCCGAGCAGGGAAGCTGGTGCAGGAAACTGAGGGAAGCGCTTCCAAGCTGAGCCTCTAAACCAGTGGTTCTCAACCTTCCTAATGCTGCGACCCTTTAATACAGTTCCTCATGTTGTGGTGACCCCCAACCATAAAATTATTTTTGTTGCTACTTCATAACTGTAATTTTGCTACTGTTATGAATCGCAATGTAAATATCTGATATGCAGGATGTATTTAGGCGACCCCTGTGAAAGGGTGGTTCGACCCCCAAAGGGGTCACGACCCACAGGTTGAGAACCGCTGAAAACCTCTGTGTTGCAGTTGTTTTGTCCTCATTAAAATGGGGGTTCAGGTCCCGAGTTCCATGCTGGAGATGTCGCTTGCTCCCTAGGTCCCCAAATGGTCTTAAGTGTCAGTGTTATCAGCCCCCCTCCGCCCCGCAGCCCTGGTTTACAGGAAGTTCCACCCAATCACAGGAAAGAAGGCAACCTGTGTTCATGACTGGCTGTTAAGCACTTTTTCCTAATTTAGAAATTATTTTGCATGAAAAGAAATAATATGCATTTTAAAGAATCTCTTGTTTAGAGATCCTTTCTCTAAAGCCTCAGGATCTTACATTTGTGCAACTGTGTGTGTCCACCCCTTCAAGGGGCTTGCTTTCCTGATTAATTTGATTTGCTGGGAGTTTACTCCTCAGATGCTGCCCATTGCTGTTCTTCCAACTGAGCCCCCCCCCCATCTAACATGCAAATTAATTTGAAGATGACCAAAACAATGCATATATTCACCTGAAGCTGCGGCCCATCCCTTGGCTTTAGTTTTTAAATATGCAAACAGTAGTTTCTGCCCCACCTTCAACTATATGTGGCTCTTATCTTTTTTCCCTCCTCTTAAAAGTTCCATAAGCTATTTCACATCCTCTCTGGTTCCATATAAATAGCTTTTCAGATAAGCAAACAGATTTCCATGTTAGGGTTACCCACTTCCCCTAGAACCTGGTGTTCTCTAATAACAACTGCTGGGGCAGCCTGGCCGCAAACAAAGCGAGGCCAATGTCCCGCAGCGGGCCTGGGCGGGCCCCTTGTTTGGATGTGTCTGGGAGCCTGTTTCTGGTGGGGCCTCTGTGTCCCTCCCTTTTCCTGGCTCTCCATCCCGCATGCCCGTTCCCCTGGCCTCAGGCCAGGCCCTGCTCAATCCAGCAGCCTTTGTGTTCCCTGACTCCTGCCATCAAGGGGGCTCACCAAGGCTCCCTCCCCTTCCCTCTTGGACACCTCATTCCCAGCCAGCTAGGAGACGCTGTGCCTCACCCGATTCACACCTGGTCTGTATCGATGCTGTTTCTGGGCTTCCTTCCCCATGATCCCTCTGATTTGCTCTCTTGCTGTCACTTCAGGCATTTACTTCAGAGGTCAGCTGTTAGGACATGGTCAACCATAACCCAGGTACTTGACTGATTCCCAGTTATGGTCCAGCCTCTTAGCCTTGGGCCAACAGAGGAACCTTATAAGGAAAATATTAAAAACCATTATTAAAAAGGAGAAGGAGAAGAAGGTGAGGAAGAAGAAATAGGGGGGAAAGGAGGGGAAAAAAGGCAGTAAAGAAAGGTACGATCTCATAGCCAGGAAACACCTGAGTCTGTATATAGTTGGCTTCTTACTTCTGCAAGGCCCCAACCTCTTCCATTGTCCATTATACCCTCTTTTCATTGTTATGTACAGCGAGATCAGACCCTTGGTCTGATTTCATAGAACATCAGAGCTGGAAAGAACTGTTGAGATGATCGCCAACCTCCTTGTTTATGTATAAACAGACTGAGGCCAATAGAGGGAAATGACTATCAGGTACCTAGCTAGTGGCAGAGCCAGGGCTAGAACCCGTCTCTTGGTCCAGAGGTAGATTCATGAGCACAAGAGTATCTACAAGTATCTGTAGAGCCAGTGGGACTTGGAAAGGGGTGGTTGGGCCACGTGGTTTCCGTATCCTCTGGCAGCTTCAGTGCTCTGTGATTCCATGCGTCCAATGGCTCCCGTGTTTATTACCATTGAAAATTCTTTTTCTGATTCAAGTATGTTTAGGAATGAGGCTTTTTATTTAAATTGGAGGCTAAGAATTTGGGGCACCTCAGAGACTGATCATCTACAAAGAGGACAAAGGGTTGAGAAAGTGTCCGGCACCAGATCTTCTGATTTAAAATGGTAGATGGCCAGGGGAGGCGCTGGGAGGTGCTCAGAGCCCAGTGTCCAGCGGTAGGCATTCTGGGCTCTGGAAGAGAGTTAACCAAGTAGAACGTGAAGCATTAAGGAGCAACACTCTTCATTTAAACATTCTTGCTGCAGTGGGTGGCCTGGAGCAATAATCAACAGGCGTTTGACACTTGTCAGACACTAGTCTGAGTCACCGAACCCTGTTCCCTGGTCCTCCTTCCCCGCCACCTCCTCGCCCAAGAGAGAAAGGTGAAGCAATACGGGCATACAGCAACCTCCGCCACACTGTCCCTGTCCTGGCAAGCAGTCAAAGCACAGAAGTGAGGGCCCCTGCAAGGAAAAAAGGAAAACATTTCTGTTCTACAAAATACATTTTATTTTCTGATTCCATTGTGGGAATTTGGGAAGTATAGAAAACACAAAGAGGAAAATAAATATCATCCACAATCCTATCACTTATGGAAAACCATTATTTGGATTTGGATGAATTTCATGCTAGTCTTTTAAAATTTTCTCTGTGTAAACACATTTGAACAAACGCTTATACATTTTTTTTTTCAAAATGAGATTGTTCTATACTTACTGTTTTCAAACCCATTTTTCCCAAAGTGAAATCATGTATTATGAACACTTTCCTTGGAAAGCCTCCATTTTAGTCCATTTCCGTCCATCCTAAGCAGTGGCAGGGGCACTGGCAGCAGCGGTGGGGTTTTATGGGGAGGTTCTTGGTCCATCCAACTACAAGGCCACAGAGCTCTTGACCACCAGGGGGGCCCTCAGCCCCTCAAACACCAGGGTCCCGGGTTGGCGTCTCGGTGGCCTGACCTCTACTTCAGTGGTTAATAACAACGATGTCCTCGTGTGTGCATGACTCTGGTCATGTTTTCTCACATCACGAGATCTGTGTTTTTTATTTATTAATTTTAAAAAATTTTCACCCCATTAGAAAACGCTTGTGGATGTTACTTTGGAAAATAGCAACATTAAGGATCAAATCAGAAACCTGCAGCAGACATATGAAGCGTCCATGGACAAGCTGCGGGAAAAGCAGAGGCAGTTAGAGGCTGCGAAAGTTGAAAACCAGCTGCTGAAAATGAAGGTAAAGTAGGGCAAGGGGGGGCGGATAGATTTCCTACTAACTTTTCTCTTCTTTCCTTCTTCTCTCTCCTCCCGTCTTCAGCTCTTCCATTTCCTTTTCTCTGTTCTCTTTGTTGAATTTTCTCACCCTTTTGGGATCAACCCCAGAGGGCTTGGCTTAAAGGCACTAGGAAGTTTCTGTGCTCACAGACCTCAGTCCAGATTGGGGTGCCCATTATGCCCCCACTGGGCGCCCCTGCCTTGGGCCCAGTGGCCTCCAGGGCTGCCAAGACAGTCACTTGGCACTGCTGTTAGTACTGAGAGGCCCTTGGGATGCCCTCAGGTCTGCGCTTTCAGCAGCTTCACTGTTGAGATTTTCTCTGAGGCCCCAGCTTTTCTGTGTGGTTTGACAAGAAAGAGCTGAAGGGCACACAGGAAGACAGCCGATGGTGGCCATGGACTCTGGGCAGTGTCCCTCTTGCTCACCAGGCTGTGCTTAGTCCACTGCCGGGCTCCTACTGCCCTCCCACATTTGAAACCTACTTGACCCACCCTGTACTGTGTCTACGGTGTGTCCGTCCTGGACGTTCCTGTTATTCCAGGGCTGGCATCCAGCATCTGGGTACATGGTTAGGCAGTTTGGCAGACTGGCTCCTTCCAAGGAGACCAAGCGCCTAAGTCCAGCCTGCAGATGCCTGTTTTAGAGACTAATGCGTTACTTGACCCCCAAATAAATAAAGTTACAGGAGTCAGAGCGTTTCACATGACCTGGATGCAGAGGAAACAGGACTCGGGTGACGAGTCATTTCCGAAGTCTGTGTTTGCAGTGGAAATGGGGTGCAGGATGCATTCGGTCTCTCTCAGCTGATGACAGCTCTGTTCAGGATTTTCCATTTTGTGGCTTCTGGGTACCAACGGGTGTCTAGTGACAAGAAGAGTTAGAGGGCATCTTTGCAATAAACATCATGTAACCTGTTGAGGTTGAAGTACACCTCGCTTATCCAGGGTTACATATCCAGCAGACTCAGCATTCTGGAACAAGCGGTAGCTGGAAGGAAGGGCTGCAGACAGCATGAGGTCAATGGCATGAAGTTCACAGGCAAGAGCAGGGCCACGTCCCCCCGAAGCCCTGCCCACCCACTACTCCACTGACTTTTCTCGTCTCCTAAGCTGGGTCTGCCCGAGGCACCAGGAGCCCCCAGCTTAGTGTGGCCCAAACCAGGTGGGAATGTTCCAAATGCAACATTTGGGAAAGCACAAAGGCATGGAAAGGATGAGTCCGAATTTCTTACAGGAGCTTAAGTCTTTCCCAGTGATTCATTGGTTAGTGCAACCAAGGGGGCAGCTTCAACTCCACGTGGACAACTTCTCTTCAACGGCCTCCCCGCTTTTCTGACATAATTTGTGTAAAGTAATATATGAACATACGGGGGGAGGGAGAGGGCGGAGTCAAACAATATGAAAGGTAATCTAGAGATATGCCTGCACCATTTTACATTCCCAGCAGCAGGGTAAGAGGATTCCCGTTTCTCCACATTTGGTTTAATACCTAGGTAAGTTTCCACCTCTTTAAAAATTCGCTCATGCAGAACACTTTTCCTGTTATCAAGTAAGTTAGTATAAGGTGCCACCTTTTAGTTTCTATGCACCTGTTCACCCCCTTTCCTTCTGCCTTCGATCCCTTTGCCCGTGAGTTCCTGCTGCCTCTGTCTTCTGCCGAGCCCGGGCCGGTGGGTCCCCTCCTCTGTGTGTCCACCCGTGACACGTACAGAGTGAGAAGGGCTGACGCCCTGGCACCGGCGAAGCTGCCGCTCTGAAACGGGTGTCTCTGTAGGTGGAGTCCTCCCACGAAGCCAACGCCGAGGTGTTGAGGGAGATGACCAGGAAGCTGTACAGCCAGTACGAAGACAAGCTGCAGGAGGAGCAGCAGCGGCACAGCGCCGAGAAGCAGGCGCTCCTGGTACGTCGTGGTGCGGAGAACAGAGCAGAGCAGGGCTTTTGGTTCTGTATTGTCGCTGAGGTTCAAACTCGGGGGTGGACAAAAGTAGGTCACAGTTGTTAGTATGGAAAATAATTCGAGAACGAATAAATCATAATACCAACTCTGTGTTTGCATACTCACAACTGTATTCCTGCTTGTGCCCCACCCTGTGGTAGGGTTTCTGGTTGGAGTGAGTTGGTGGACTAACTACTGGGTGAGGGCTCAAGGAATTTATTGTTTGCTCATCCACTCCCTTCCCTTCTCCCTCCTTTCCTTTACTCATCTCCCTCCCTTCTCAGAATAGCCCCCAGGCTCTGGCTCTAAATCCATCTCTTTCTCTCGCGAATCTGACCATTCGCCAGCATCCAGGCAGGTCCTGGGCCTGCAGCTGTGTCCTTCCTCTCCCCGCTTGCTCCTCTCTCCCTGGAATTTCCTCCTTCCTGTCCCCGATCCTACCCACATTCCCTGGGAGCCGTGAAAGTGAGGGCCTGCCATTCCCACAGCCGGCAGCATCCTGCCCTTGGGAAGCCCGCACGCTCTCCCCGCCCTTTGCGTGGCCTTCTCTGTACCCCTTATCGGAGACGGGCTGTATGCCTCACACCTTGGCTTCCCTAGGACAGCATTTGTTTCTTGAAGGCGAGGACTCCAGGTCTGCCCTAACCTGTGTCCTTACAGGCGTCATAATGTGCCGAGAGATGGACTGAGCTGGTGCTTTGCAATAAGGGAGAAAGACGTGGGCATTCTGCATTCAACTCCCGATCTGGCCTTCATCCCCTTCACGTTGTTGGCACATACACTGACATTCTGAGTGTCTAGTCAACGGCTAAGTAACCTTCACAGGCTCGTCTTAGATATAAAGACTCAAGGGGAAAAAAGGGGGAAAATGACTAGGCTTATTAAAAAGCCACGTGATGCAGCTAGGCCCCATGTCATGCATTAGCGGCATCGTTAGCAACACCCTGGTTGGAAGTCTAGGGTCTCCATGGCTCTGCTGAGGACAGTGTGTTGCTTTTCCAGGAAGAAACCAATAGTTTTCTGAAAACGATTGAAGAAGCCAATAAGAAGATGCAGGCGGCAGAGATCAGCCTGGAGGAGAAAGACCAGAGGATTGGGGAGCTGGACAGGCTGATCGAACGCATGGAAAAGGTAACAGACACAGTTCCTGTCTATTCCGCTCGCCCGGATGCCCGGCTTTTCCGCAGCCCCCCTGCAGGCCTGTGTGAAGGCCTCAGACGCCCATAGCACTGACAGCTCTCGGCCCTGCAATGTGTGAGTTCAAAGAAAAGACCCAACTGTCAAAGTATGGGAAGTCCACGAATGTTCTAATTTTTCCCTGGTGACCATTTTAATGCTTTAATAAGCATTACATATAAAATTATTTACAAAAATGAATATTTTAGTGGCTCTGCTTTGCTGGGGCCTCAAGCATGAACTTAGTTGCATGGTCAAGTCCTGTTTAGATGTTACATCTGCACCCCAAGCCTGTTGTTTCTGGGAGTGTGTCTGAAGGGTGGCTTTTCTCTGACACCCCACATTTCAGAGTGGGGGTAGCACGTTTCTTCGTGGGTGGGGACAGGGGCTGTGTGGGGAAGGCAGGCGCTCAGCTGAGATAATGAAGCCTAGAGAAAGGGAGGAGGCCAGAGATTAGGCAGAAGTGGAGAAAAGGGAAGAAAGGGTGGAGAGAGGAGAGAAAAGGAAGGAAGGGAGGGGGAAAGAGGGGCCTGTGACCTTTAGCAGGTGACAGCTGACTTCTGGGAGAGGGGTGGTGGCTGCGAGCCAAGCCTGGGACTGATTTCTGGAAAATGGCTCACATGTGAGTTTGCAGAGCAGTGGTGACCTGCCAGGACCCTGACGTATCGGCACCCCGCACTCATGCTGGGTGCTGAGATTCTCCAGGTTGATGATGGTGAGAGGGGGGATGAGGACGTGAGCAAGGCCAACATCTGGGCTTCCTAGCGATCCTGAGAAGAGGTCTCCTTACCCCCATGTCTGCAGCTTAAGCCCCTCCCCTGACAAGGTGAGGTTGAGCCTGAGTGGGAAGGGCATTGAATTCAGTGCCACGGAGCTTCGGCCTTGCTGAGGTTCCCCTCTGGGGGAATATTGGTATTTGGGAGGGACTTGAACAACTAAAGAGTCAATGACCATTTCACCTCTACCCTGGAAAACAGAACCTGTCCTTTATTGAAGAGAGGATGTGAGGTGCTTAAGACCGTCATTGTTGGTGGGAGGTGGTGACAGTGAGGATCAGGCAGCAGGGGCGTATTCTAGGACTCGGGAGGGAGAGCGGGCTCCATGCTCCTGCTCTCCTACAAGAGCGGAAGATGCCCATTCACACACACGCTCCCTCCAGGTGACAATTTGCACATTAGGCTTTTATATATACAGATTATTGTGGAGGCCACAAGTTCTAAAATCAGTGTGTTGGCAGGGCTGGGTTCCCTTTGGAAGCTCCAGAGGAGAACCATTTCCTGGCTTTTCCTAACTTCTCAGACCACTCATATGCCTGGACTCATGGCCCCTCCCCCAGCTTTGGAAAAGCAGGTAGCATTTCCAATCTCTGTTTCTCTCTGACTCTGACCGTCCCTAAAGGAAGGGCCCAAATGGATAATCCAGGGTAATTTTCTGTTAATCACACCTGCAAAGTTCCTTTTCTCAAGTAACATGGCATATGCAGGTTTCAGAGATCAGGATGTGGACATTGTTGGGAGCTATTGTTCTTATGACCACAGCATAGTTTTACAGGTGAACATACCTATGTAACACCCACCCCCCCAAGTTAGTCTATAGGCAATATAGAGCCTCGTTAGTTGCTACAGAAAATAATCAAGAATTTTGCAGTATCACAGGCCACTGATAGAGAGTATTGATTATCATTATTTAGAACTACAAATTTCACAAGGCATCTGAGCCTAGGCTGACAGAATACTGTGAATGGCTTTATCCAAGATGTTTGTCTCTAACTCATAAATATGCCTGGAAACACATGCCAACAAATTTGGCGTTTTTGAGTTCGGTAGGACTCTGGTGAGTGGGTGGGTACAACTCACATGTGTTGCATATGGACTTGAGCTCCCCAGTGCTGGAATTGGCAGAGGTACACGTTCTCTGTCCAACTTGGTGTAATCCATTGGGGAACATGCCAGTGTCTGTCTGTTTTAGGAACGCCATCAGCTGCAACTACAACTCCTAGAGCACGAAACAGAAATGTCCGGGGAAATAACAGACTCTGACAACGGAAGGTAAGATGCAGTGCCCTTTATCTCGTGGTGGGTTCTGATGGTGGACGTGCTGTGTGCTTGTGGGCTCACTTGGTCCTTTCATTTTTCACTCACCTGGTCATCTCTTCCTGCAGAAAACAGTGCTGGAGAGCTTCCCGTATGGAGCTGGTTTCTTTAGGAGCCTAACAGCGCATCCTACAGCCGTGGCACACGTTTTAGTTTTGCACTGTCACAGTGCAAAAGTTCAGGTTACCAATGTTCTCCATAACCTTGAACTCCACAGGATGCACCTTGTTGATGAGAAATCATCAACTATGATTAATATCGTTGGCATGGAAGCTAACTTTAAAATGTCTTTCTGTGTTTCCAAACATTGCTCGGCCAAATCTTGGCTTGTCCCCTGTCTCTGAGTGTACGAAGCCCTGCGTGGAAAATGCAGAAGTAGTGCACAGACTCTTCTAGAAATCAAAAGGCTGAAAGGCCTTGTGTGGCCCCTTAGTGAAGGGGAACAAGGTTGGGATGATTTGAGCATTTGGGGCAAGTTCCTTATCCTCCCCGAGATCTGGGAAACGGGAATTCTTTTTTAAAGGAGGAGGGGGTTGTGCTGATCATAACAGCGTCCATCTCACTGGGTTATTATTATGAGGGACATGTTGGACGTACTGCCCGCCACATAGCATTTGCTGAAAAAATACCCGTTTTCCTTCCTCTTATGCAACTTCAGAGTTTGCGGAGTTATAGGGGTCTTGCCTGGTCTTTATGTAGCGCTGAGGAGGGACCTGGGAGAGGTGGGAAGGGGTGAGCTCACCACCAGACCCTGCACCAGTGGTCCGGTCCAGGGCCCCCGAGAACAGAAGGGCCCATCTGCTGGGTCCTTTGGTTTCTTTGAAACCAGCAAAGTCAGAGAATAATTTTTGCTCTTTTAAAGCCAAAGTGTGAAATGTTGTACGATGTAGTTCAGTCTGTTTTGGTGAAGAGAAGGTCTTTCAACCTGTTTCCCATTCTCCCACAATAATCTCACATAGAACAAGGGTGATTCCAGCCTTCCCAGGGCTCTGTTGGGAGCTCTCATTTCAGATATTCTGTTGTGTTGCTAGATGCCTCTCCTTCTCCGTTCCCTTAATCAGCGTAACTTCCTGGATGTCCCAATATCGTATTAACTCCAAAACAGACAGCCTCTCATACCTGTAAGTGGTACCAGCAGATTCCCTCTCAGTGCCTGGAAAGTCTAACTGTCCTTATACAGAGGAAACTTACAAGTGGGAACGTGAAAAGAGCCCTCTAGTCCTTCTACGGTGAGGGGGTTGCTTGAGTAATCACCTAGGACATGCATCTTGGCGTTCCCCTTCTTGTTCTTGGCAACATTCCTTCCCAGCGGTGACTTTGGTGCCGTGCCGCTGCTGTGGTGTGGGACTCAGTGGCTCTCTCCTCTGTCGTGTTAGGTATCAGCAGCTGGAGGAGGCGTCGGCCAGCCTCCGGGAACGGATCCGACATCTGGATGACATGGTGCATTGCCAGCAGAAGAAGGTCAAGCAGATGGTTGAGGAGGTAAGCGCTCGTCAGAGGTCATGGGCCGGGGTGCTTCCGGCGGTGGGGACATTTCAGCTCTGCAGCCAGATCTGACCTCAGCTCAGTGTTCTGGGGCTCACAGTGGACGCGCTCAGATGACCTCTGTCTTGGCCCCGAGGGGAATTTCCTCGTATGTCCCCCCTGCTGATTATCCCTCCAAAAGAGGGTCTTCTCCAGATCAGAGGGTGACAGTTAATAAGCCATGCGGTGCAGGGCATAGCTCACCCACTCTCAGAGGACAGCAACACCCTCTACCCTACGCGGGTGCCTGCAGCCCAGGGAGCAAAGGGAAGTTTGACAAGGAAAGTTTAATTCAGCTCGTGTCTCTACACTGCCCCCTGCCTGCCTCCCCGGGCTACTACTCGTCCTTTCTTCATTTCTGGTGTGCTCTCATTCCCTTTTCCTATCTGTTTTCTCTTTCTTCTGCCTTCTCCCTTCATTCTCTTCTTCTGTTTCAACATCTTTTCATTTTCCACCATCCTTTCTCTCCTTAAGTGCCTCTGTGTGAAACCAAGTTGTAGGTTTACTATATGCTGAGCATAGTTTACTATTCTATTTTTTTAAATGAAAAGACAGATAAGTTGAATATTTATATTATCTAAGAGGAAAACAATTCTTTTAACCCGTGTTAATGTAATCTGTCTCTCTTGTGGTGATTGCTCAATAGAAGAAAGTCTATGCTGTTGTAAAGCCAGTAACATATTATTGTAATTTTTCTTGCTCAATTAAAAAATCAGACAGAAGCCCTAACTGCTTTGGCTCAGTGGATAGAGTGTCAGCCTGTGGACTGAAGGGTCCCAGGTTCGATTTGGTCAAGGGCACATGCCCAGGTTGCGGGATCAATCCCCAGTAGGGGGCATGCAAGGAGGCAGCTACTCAATGATTCTCTTTCCTCATTGATGTTTCTTTTTTTAAAAAAATATATTTTATTGATTTTTTACAGAGAGGAAGGGAGAGGGATAGAGAGTTAGAAACATCGATGAGAGAGAGACATCGACCAGCTGCCTCCTGCACACCCCCCACTGGGGATGTGCCCGCAACCAAGGCACATGCCCTTGACCGGAATCGAACCTGGGACCTTTCAGTCCGCAGGCCGATGCTCTATCCACCGAGCCAAACCAGTTACGGCCCTCATTGATGTTTCTATCTCTCGCTCCCTCTCCCTTCCTCTCTGAAATCAATAAAAAAATATTTTTAAAAATCAGAAGAAAAGAACAGTTAGTACTAACAGGTTTATAAAAATTCTCTAGGGTCTAATTCTCTAACTTGCAAAGAAAAGAAAGTGGTTCAATTTAGTTAAACATGTGGATGGCAGTGAAAAAAATGGGAAAAAAAGTTTTTCCCCTTATGTAAAGCACTACTCTGAAAAGTTATTTCTTTTATTATTGATTTACTGAAATTAAAAGTATATCTACTTCTAATACATAATTTACACACATGACACAAATAGAAGTTTAAAAGTATAAACTGTAAACTGTTGGAGATATTAGTGGCATGGGCTTAAAGTCAGGGAGTTGTGAGGATGGGGGGGGACACTTTGTTTTTTCTTGTGTGTAGGATAAACATATACATTAGACTAAATTTACTTCCCAAACAAGGAATCCAATCACATGGAGTTGAATGCTGTGCGTATTATATTGGCTCCTGTGCCAGCCTCGGAAGCAGTAGAATAAAAGAACAGACAGCCAAGGTTCAGACGAGGCAACCACACACGCACCTTCGCAGCCCCTTTGCACACCTGAACAGGAGCACTGCCGGCATCAGCGATGGTGGATCCTGCCCAGTGGCACACTAGGTCGATATCAGCAGTGTGTTTCCCAAGGAAGAGCATCATGTTGTCACAGTTAGCATCTCGGGGAGCCATGGCTGTCAGAGCATAGCTTTTCTGTGTCTGACATGAAGTCTAGGGCAGGGCTGTTCTCATTTCCCACCTGTGGCTCCTTATTGTGGAACATTGCAGTTCCCCCACCTCACCACAGGGTGGTGCTCTGTACTGATCTCATATCTAATATTAGAGAACCAGGGACTAAAACCTCAGACTGGTTGGCTTCTGATACAATTATTATTTGTAATGTTTATGATTGGTACCAAAATCAAGAGACATTTTTTAAAAAGACATTTTCAAAGAAGTTTAGGATTTGCTGTTTTCTAATTTACTTCTGGAACATAATGGAACTACCAATTTGAAGGGAGTGGAATGGGCGAATATCTATATATGAAAATAAGGAAGTATATAAAGATCACTGTCCATGCCCTGCCTTTCTACCTGTGATTGTCTGTCTCCCAAATGAGCTTCCCTGCGTCCCGATGATGTGGTCGGTGAGACCCAGGCACTGGAGTGAGATCACAGGCTGAAATTTAGGATGGCACCGTCAGAGGGAGCCTCACTCAGGGGCCTGCTGGATTTCAGCAGTGGATGGAGACTTAAACAGAGAGAGAAAGAGGCTTTTAATTCTAAATGTAAACATCTAAGTCAAGTAGTAAGAATTAATGTGTCTAGTACACTGTGTTAACTTTACAACAAAGGGATGGCTTAGAATCTTAATTGCTGTAGCCATTTATGTGAATTATTTTTTTAAGTTAGAAACATGGAAAAGGGAATATTGACAAATGAGCACATTCAGAAGAGCAGGATCGGGTTGGAAAGGAGGTGAGAACTCTGGAAATTCAGGGAATGGTTGAAGGCTTTGGTGAAGAGATGGCCAAGGGAGCCGGATGTGAGAGCTGAATTAACATCTTAGATAACAGCCATCGAGAAGAGGGAATATACCTGTTTTGTATCGCCATGCAAGGCCAGGCTGGAACCACTGGGTGGCACTTACGAAAGGCAAATTTCAGCTCTTGGTTCAACATAAGGAAAACATCCTATATAATAAAAGCCTAATATGCTAAGTGTCCGGTCGTCCGGTCATCCGTTCAACCAATCAAAGCGTAATATGCTAATGATATGTTAAGGCTGCTCAACTGCTTGCTATGATGTGCACTGACCACCAGGGGACAGACAGTCGACAGGTAGGTTAGCTTTCTGCTGGAGTCTGGCCAATTGGGACTGAGCAAGGCAGGCCGGATACACCCTGGAGCCCTCCCACAGTCCCTCCCTGGCTGGCCAACCTCCCCCTTCCCTCCCCAGCCCCAATTGTGCACCAGTGGGGTCCCTCAGCCTGGCCTGCACCTTCTCGCAATCCGGGACTCCTCAGGGGATGTTGGAGAGCCAGTTTTGGCCCGATGCAGCAGGCCAGGCTGAGGGACCCCACTGGTGTACGAATTCGTGCACCGGGCCTCTAGTTTCTAATATTTGCTGCCCTGGAAGGTATTTAGCCCTTCACCATGGATGCATTCCTTATGACATAAGAAATTGAGATAGAAGCTCCTTATAAATAAAGAATTTTCTATTGTTTACTAGGCTGTGCCTGTTGTTATGATCACAGCATTATCATTACTTTGCCCAGTGACCAAAATCGGCAAAATTATAACTAAATCACTTCAGGGCATTTGCACCAAATTTTAAAAAACTCAGACTACTGCCTGGCCAGTGTGCTCAGTGGTTAGAGTGTTGTCCTGTGCACCACAGGGTCAGTGCATGTGCATGAAGCAACCGATCGATGTTTTTTCTCTCTCTCTCACTTCTTCTCTCTCTAGAATCAATGAAAGGCATATTCTTGAGTGAGGATTAAAAACAAAGCAAAACAGAAACCCAGACCACTGAATCAGTTACTTGTGGAATCTTGGACTCTGACTTTAGAAGAGAAATATATTTTTATCCATGAACTCCGGATATTAAGACAATTTGACTAGAAACAGAGGCAGCCAATGTCAGGGTCCCCTTTCCTTCCCTCCCAGGAAGTCTGAAAGCTTGTCAGTGTGGTAGCTTCACATTCACCAACGGCTGAATCTAGTCTCCATCCATTGTTGGTGTCATTTTCGTCCCAGTGTCTATGAAGAAACTCCGTTTATTAAAATGATGTGCTTCTTTTCCCAGCTCCAATCATCCATGAGGTCCTTGGACTCTTAAATTGTTAGGAAATATATTTCCTTCCACCTCAGTACAGTGCAATTTCTTAATAATACAATCTGAATAAAACATAGCCAATAAAAAATATATAAAAACAACAAAAAAATACCCAGCCTACGTTTTGTAACCCATAGCTCAGTAATTGATTTTCATTGTGGGGGACAGTATGTTTCAGTAAGGACTTGCACATGTAAGGAAAGAGCAGAATGGGCCTTTTAGAAATGAAAGATTAATATATATCTGTGGGGCCAAGTTCATTGGACAAAGGCAACTCGAAGAATCTTGTGTGAAGTGTGGGACCAAATACCCCCACAGACTAGATCTTTATTGGGGTGGATGTCAGGGACTGGTGTCTCCCTCCGTCACTCCTTCTTCTAACTGGTTCTAACTCTGACGAAAAGAAAAAAGAGAACTAGCTCTACATATGCTCCTTAGACTTCAAAGGTTTGCCAGAAAATATAGAGGGACTGAAAGAAATAGCTCTTGTGGGGAAATTCACTCATCCCTCCGTCCACCAGCTACCCGCCAGCACTCTCCGTGCAGGGCTGGGACAGGTGGGGAGGCGCAGGTGTGGCTCTGCATCTCCCCAGCGGTGTCATCCAAGCTCCAGAGTAACCCTCCTCCTTGGGTGTCCTGCAAGCCCCACGGGGGTAGGCCCTGTGCCTCAGTCAGGCTGCATTCTTGAGCTTTCCCTGAAAGGAACCCGGGGCCCAGGGAGGAGCAAAGGGCAGGGCGGAACCTTGACTCGTCTTTAAGTGTTAAAGACTTTAGCTGGCCCTTCAGAGGGTCATTCTCACCTCTTTCCCTGTGCTCACCAACGCCCAGTCTCCTGCCATCCAAAGCGGCTTTTCTGCCAAGGGGAAATTAGCTGGAGGAAAAAACAAGTTCTTATTTGCCCTCAAAAAGGGTAGACGTACATTTTTGCCAATGGGCAATGATATTGTTCAGCTGAATACACGGTAATTTAATAAGAGTTCCTTTACCTTTTCCGCCTCAATCATAGGCATCCTTTTGTTTCATCATGGCCTTCTTCTAATTTCCCATTGTGTTTGTGATGGGTGAAATGCAAGTGTCTGAAGAGTTCCAGAGAAGGCATTTTTCCTGAGTTTTCCTTTGCAGAAAGCAATTGCACCCCGACCCCCTTGTATAATTTAGATGTTTAATGAGCGCACAGGTGCAAGGAATCGATTTTCTTGTTAGTGGCTCTCCGTGCAGGCAGTGCATTAGAATCACAGGGAAGCCTTAAAAAATTCCAGAACCCAGCAGATGGGAGTAGGAGGGAGGGACTGGCGATTGGGGGTATTTTTGGTTGGTTTTTAAGCCCCACAAGATTCCAGTATGCAACCGATGTTCCGGGTTCTTACAACAGTGGCGTGCGTTTCCATGCTGGGTTTTCAGGTCATCAGTGCATTTAGCCAGCCTCCTTCAGGAGCTGTTGTGCCTGAGGTGAGAAGCTGGCAGTGAAGCTGGTAGGAAGGGCTCAAGGGAAGAAAGTGCGAGACGGGTCAGCAGGGACCAGGAGCATTGAAGTGGGAGGCTGGTCCAAGTGTGTGACCGTCTGAAGTCCTATCAGCCCCATCTAGACAGCTCCATCTAGAAAGCCCCATTTAGATGGCTCACTCTTTTTTAAAAACAAACATTTTATTGATTTTTTACAGAGAGGAAGGGAGAGCGATAGAGAGTTAGAAACATCAATGAGAGAGAAACATGGATCAGCTGCCTCCTGCACTCCCCCTACTGGGGATGTGCCCACAACCAAGGTACATGCCCTTGACTGGAATCGAACCTGGGACCTTTCAGTCCGCAGGCTGATGTTCTATCCACTGAGCCAAACCGGTTAGGGTGATGGCTCACTCTTAATAGCTCTGCTGGCCTGGTGGTGTCCAGGTAATAAAACTTCCCAAAGGCTATCCTTGGCCACCTAGAGAGAAGTTGTTACTAAGGCAGGTATATTTAGGCACACTCGTTAAGCAGATAATAGAGACTTAAAGGGACAGAATCCAATTGCAGTGGAAGCCGAGAGCTACCACTAACAAAGAGACCAAAAGTGGTTCGCATGGATCCTCTTCCTGCAGTGCTTGTGTGTGCACATGTACAGCCTTGCCCTGGTTTAAATTACTCACTTCTGTCTACACAGAAGACCTTACTTTTGGCCACACTGGCCTTCCTTGGAAAGAAAAGAACACGATACCTTGTTGAAATCATAGTATTAACAATGACTTTGTCTCAAGTGCAAGACGAGGCAGAACATTTTTGCAGTTCCTCAGAAATGGTTTTGAAAGTATTTGATTATCATCCTTTAGATTTTTAAAGAGTGAATTTCTTGTTATAACTCTATAGTTTTTTGAGGAGACAAACTGGATAAGGGAGAGTAGATGATGAGTGACTCTTTGGGGAGTTGAGGTTTGAGTTACTAGTTTCTGGCTCTTGAGCCAGCCAGCAAAGCTGGGCTTCTGTTTTCTTTTTTCAAGTCCCCATAACTTACCTCCCAGGCCCCGAATCTGTATACACCCCCTGCATTAGAGACCCGGGGAAGTAAGTTAGAGGAAGGAGTCAACTTTATGGGTTTACAGGGAAAGGTACCTAGACTGGAGGTGAGCATGGACTTTCTAGACGCAGACATGTTGCACTGACTAGTTGTGGGACCTTCAAAAAGTTATTAGTTTCTTGTCTGTAAAACAAGGTTAATAACAGTATCTATCCGAGAGGATTTTTTGTAAGAGTTAAATGAGGTGATGTACAGTTGATTCTTGAACAACACCAAAATTCGTGTGTAACTTTTGACTCCCCCAAAACTTAACTACTAATAGTCTACTGTTGCCTGGAAGTCCTACCTATAACATAAACAATTGATTAACACATATTTTGTATATTATATGTATTATATACTGTATTTTTACAATACATGAAGCTAGAGAAGATAAAATATTAAGAAAATCATAAGGAGGAGAAACTATATTTTAAGTATTTATTGAAAAAAATCTGCATATAAGTGGACCTGCACAGTTCAAATCTGTGTTGTTTAAGGATCAACCCTTTAGAAAATACAGCATATTCATTGGAACATGGGAAATACCCAATAAATATTAGCTGCTATTATTATTATTATTACTACTGCTTCTACTGATGGGTGGGTCCTTGCTGTGAACACCAAAGGTAAAGTTAAATGGGTTAAAAGCAAAAGCCGCTGGGTTGATTTTTTGACCAATACACAGGACTGCCCTTCTCTCCTTGGGAATCTTATGGATCTTTGGGTAACCTTCTTCCTCCTCCTGTGCTTTGTGCTGCGTTCTAGCTTAGCCATCTGTCCTTTGAGTAGAATATTTATACACAAAGCACATTTTAAAAATAATTTTTATTGATTTTTAGAGAGAGGGGAAAGGAGAAGGAGAGAGAGAAACATCTCTGTGAGAGTGAAACATCGATCAACTGCCTCCCACATGCCCACTAGTGGGGATCGAGCCTGCAACCCTGGCATGTGCCCTGATCGGGAATCGAGCTGGCAACCTTTTGGTGCACGGGACGATGCCTAACCAACAGAGCTACACTGGCCAGGGCTATACACAAAGCAATTTAAAAAAATCAATTCTCTACATCCCAAGAATCTTCCATTTTAAATGGATCAGCCATTTATTAGCAATTTATTTTGAAATTATCCTGTGCTGTGCTGAAATGTACAACACCAAGGTACATTTTTGCCAAATGCCCTGTGTTTGGAGGACTCCGTGTGATCTCCAGCACTGACAATTAGCCACGTGGGGGTAGGGGAAGGAGCCACAGCACTGAGCCCGCGACCCTAACCCACCCAATTCACCTGTTTCCAGATCATGTCCCACGAGCTCTTCTCCAGATTTAGTCTCCGGCTCTTTGGAAGATGATAAATGGTAGCCTGCCCTGGGTTGGAAGCGGCTCCCTGTATTGTTCGTGATTAGAAGAACGCTTGCACTCTCTGCTGGGAAGAGGTGGCATGTATCTGATGAGCCGATGAACAAAACAGGAAGGACATGCTATTAAAAGGAACACTTGACCATGGGGGGCTCTTACTTGTGGAAACACCACATACTGTAACCTCAACTCGTACAGCCCCACACTGCAGAGTCAAGAGGGCTCAAAGATCCACAGACCATTTTTTAGAAACTTGGGTTCCTAGACATCAAAGAAGGAGCCACAATGAAAAATAGTCCTAAATATAATTTGGAAAGTGCCAGGTGGAGGCCGGTCGTCAGGTCCTGGAGAATGGAGCCTTCGTATGGAGAAGCTGCCGAGGACCCTGCTAAGAAGACGGGAAGTGCTGCCACCAGATCACACCCCAGAAAATACAGAAGCAGCCGAGTGTCCATGTAGTTGGCTTTTATTTATCTGAGTGGTGGCCCAGCGGATGTCCTCTCTGAGTGGAGAGCAACAGCACTAGTCAACTTAGCACTCTTCCTGTTGGTTTAAGGAGAGTTTGGTTGGCTTCTGTCACCACAGGCATTTTGCCTGAATAGACAGTTCGATTAACTTCATGAAAAGGAGAAGTATATCTGATGACGAGAGACATGTATTCGGCTGAAATATATTGAAGTGAAATATGCTTCATGCTGCTTTATTTGTATGGGGAGCTGGTATCTCGTCAAAACGTAGTGTTGCTTAAATCTAGTTAGTAGTAGCAGCGGCAGTGGTGGTGGTAATAATAGTCAGTGGGTGGTATTAGCCCACCGATGCTAGTAGACTGGGTTAATGGAGTGAGTTCATTAAGGGGACAGCGTCAATTTGATGTTGGGTAGTTGTCCACTCCCACCACTTCTTCAGAGCAAGGTGGACCGGCAGATGCTTTCTTGTCAATAGTTGCCTTTGGTCTTCCATTGAGATGCTTCTGTCCAGCTTAAGCAAGTAAGCAGTGGACGGGAAAGGAAGCAGGTGAATAAATTTCCAGATTAGTAATGAACTGTTAATGCAGTTAATCTACCTGGGTATCCTGTTTCAGCGCAGGTCCCCAGATACTCTGCTGGGAACTCAGACTTCTGCTAGGGAGATTTGAGTCAAATTTGAGATTTGCTGACCTAGATGTCACTCTAGTGTTGTAACCTACACTGTTTATAGGGTTACATACCTTCACTCCCCTCATGCTTTTCTAAGTCTCTGATGAAAAAGTTCCTGGCATTTGTTCTAGTGGCATAGATTCATTACCCAGTTTCAAAAAAAAAAAAAAGAAAAGAAAAGAAAGAATATGAAACGGAAATGTCCTGACTTGTAGAGAAAGTGGGTCATCCAGGTGAGCCTTTCTCCCAGAACCGTGTGCTGTCCTCCTGCCCTTGGAGCTTCTTCCCTCTTGTGGGTGACAGACAGTCCCTGGAGGCCAGCTAGGCTTTATTTTGTGCAGAGGGGGTGGGGGGGGCCTTGATTGTCTGCAGGACCCTGAGAGCCTCCAATATGTTATGCCCTCAGTGCCTCATCCACGTCCCCCTAGAACTGGCACTAGCTCCTCGGCCAGTTGGTGGTCTCCTTGACCTGGTTCCCAGCCTGACAGGACCTCCCTCCATCTGCCCCTCCCTCCTTTGCCTGTGTCCAGTTCACACTTTGCTGCCAGGATTGTGATATGGTGTGTACTTGACTTATTGCCTGTCACACCTGAGTTAGGTGTTCACATTCTGCTGCACCCCACCCATGCTCCTCCCCTTAACTGGATCATTAGCTTTTGGCTCTTAAGGCTACAGTTTTGTCTCATGGTCACTCAGGCTTCCACCCAAAAGAGGTGCTACTCAGAAATTTGAGGCAGAATGTATTTATAGTAAATTAAAATGTTATGGTTTCAGATCCTAGTGTTTAATGTTGTATTACTCATGTCTTTATTTTAAAAATCTTAGATACTTTACTAAAATGTGGTTTTTAGAAGGTATCAGAAAGCTCTTAAGTGCGTGAGCCTTTCCTTCGATGCATTGTTGAAAGGATTACTGCAGTCTCATTGTGTGACATGTACTGATACATGTATTCACCATACAAATTGTCCTTTCGAGGGAGAAGGTCTTTTCTTTGTCAATGTCACCGAACCCACTTTCTCTTTGTTGAGATTGTTTCTAGTTGGCTCTGCAGTGTTTCTTAGAGACCAGGTGCCCACGATCTTCCCATAGAGAGTGTGTGAGGCTCTGCTCCTGTCCAAGTGGCTACCACCTACTGGGTGTTTCTCAGGTTTCAAGGCTCTGTGTGTAGACCTCACAGTCCCCCACACACTAAACCTCTAGGGAAGGTATTATTAGCCCAATTTTTTTGGGCATAGGAAACTGAGACTTAGTGTCTTAAAAAATAAGTAGCCGTCCATCTCTTAGCAAAAGATGTTGGTCTCGGGTTCATTGACTCCAAAACCAACATTCATTCTTTGCTTCTTCTATTTTTTTAACTGGAGGGGAAAGTTTTAAATGCAGAAAATTACAGAGAATTATTAAAACAAAAACCCTGGTACTCTCCTCTAGAATTGACAAATGTTAACATTTTGGCATATATTTCAGATTTTTCTAAATAAAAGAAAACAGTACAAAGGGGAGTTTTTCTTTTTATCCCTCTCCAGTTCTGATCTTTTTCCTTGTCCCCCCTCCCTCCCTCCTCAGAGGCAATTTGGTCTCTATGCAGACCATGTGTCAATGCTTTTACTACCTATATATGTGTCTATTATCAGCGTATAGCTTGGTTTATTGATAAAAGATGTATGTACATTTTTATTTATAATATATAAATAAGTAAAATTTATTGTATATATTTTGCAAGTTCTTTTCCCACTTTTGTTTCTGATGCTGTTACATATAAATCTAAATTATTCATTTTAATGGCTCTCTAATATTCCACTATGTAAATATAGGATACTGTATCCTAACGATAGACTTGAAGCATTTTTCCAATTTTTTATTTTTTTACAAACAATGCCAAACATGTCTCTGTGCTTCTCCAATTGGGGAATGTACTTAGAGGAGGAATTGCCAGAGCCTGGGGTTGGCACAATTTCACCTTTGCCAGGTACTGCCCATGGATCTCCAAAGCAGACATACACTTCCACCCGTCACGTATGAGAAGGTGGATTTCTCCACACCCTCACACCTCCTGGCACTGTTGGACTATAATTTTTGCCATTTGTGAAATAGTATCTCTTTGTTTGGGTTTTAATTGCATCAGCCTGATTACTACTCATTGCGACTGGCGAGGTTGAGTATCTTCACAGGCTTATTGACCATTCAGGCTTCATGTCTGTGAGTTGGCTGTTCATATCTTTGTTTATTTTTCTCTTTGGTTGTTTATCTTTTTCCCCTCTTGATTTGTAGGAACTCTGAATACTATCAATATTCATCATTTATCAAAAAATATTTTGATGCCATTATCTTCTCCCAGTCAGTGTGTTTTGTTTGTTTATGGTGTCTGGTGTAACATACATGTTTTTAATTTTGGTATAAAGTTACTAATTTTTTGTGCTGTGCTGTGTGTCTTGTTTGTTTGCCATAAGGATGTGTTTATAATAGTTTCAGAGGTCTGTTTTTATCTCTAGGTCTTTAATTACACCCCCCACCCACCCACTCATACCTTCTCTTCCTTTTTCTCCATACCTATCTATCCTATTATCTTGTAATACGTCCTACATTTACCTGTTTTGTTTATTTATTTGTTGTCTGTTTCCCTCCACTAGAATGTAAGCTCCCCGAGGGCAGTGGCTTTGACTGTTTTGTTCATAGCTGTATCTCTAAACCTGAAATAGTCACTGACCCAGAGGAGAAGCTCAATAAATATTTATGGAACAAATAAATAAAAATCCATGTGGAATTTATTTCTTGTATATGTGATATGAATAGGGATCCATTGGGGGGGGGGGGCGGGGTAGTGGGTGATCATGGAAAGCTTGTTTCTCTAACAGCATTAATTGGATGGCCCATCCTTGCCCCACTGATTTTTTTTCATGCCACCTCTATCATTGGAGATGTTTCCCTTGTGCCACTGTCTTTAAACATTTCTGTTCTCGCCCAGCCGGCGTGGCTCAGTGGTTGAGTGTCGAGCTATGAACTAGGAGGTCACGGTTTAATACCCGGTCAGGGCCTGGGTTGTGGACTCGATCCCCAGTGTGGGGCTTGCAGGAGGCAGCCAATCATTGATGTTTCTACCTCTCGCTCCCTCTCCCTTCCTCTCTGAAATCAATAAAAAATATACATTAAAAAATATTTCTGCACTCCTGCCCTTGTGCTAAAGTCTGCGGGGAAACCCAATCCTCGGGGTCAGGAGTGGGGATGCGGGTGATGAGCCAGGTCCGATTGTGCCCTCAAAGGGCTTTCTGGTTGACATTAAAACCTGTGAGAACTCAAGGCAGAACGTGATGTCGTACGCAGGGGTATGATCCGGTGCCGAGGCACAGGACCTGGAGACAACAGTAGTTAGGCTCACAGCCGTCGAGTAATAAATGAAGTCTGAGTTTGTGTCCTGCCTCTGTTCCTGGGTGGGCTTTATTTCTTTAGTGAGTTACTCTTCTTTCCAACACTGTTTCCTTACCGACAAAATGGAAATGATGAAACAGCACCTGCTCCAGAGGTGGCTGTGAGGAGGGACTGGCAGAATGCGTGCTCACTAATCCCAGCGTGGGCGGGAGTCTTTAGGGAGGAGGCGATATTTGACCCAGTCTTGCAGGATGGATTGGAAATTTCTAGGCTGGGATTGAGTGGGTGGAAAAGGACATGCCAGACAAGATATGGAATAAACAAAAACTGAAAACATGGAGACCAGTAAGTGCGGGGTGAGTTCAGGGAGCACTAATCTAGTTTGACTGGACTGTGGGAGGGAATCCCAATGAAGAGGCTGGAAATGTGGGTTATCAGCGCCAAGCCAAGAGGGTGTCCTTTATTGCTTTACTCTCAATTCCTGATGGCTCTTTAGGGGGTGCTGGGCCATTGGGGGGGGGAGAGCAGGGAGGAAAGCTAGTGCAGATGAGGGCCCATATTCAGGGCCCTCAAACTTTAGGAACTTTTATTTTATTTTTTAAATCTTTATTGTCGAAAGTATTACATAGGTCCTCCTTTTCCCCTCATTAATCTCTTCCAGCCTGCTCCTGTCCCCCTCCCCCAGGCCTTCACCACCCCATTGTCTGTGTCCATGGGTTACGCATATATGCATACAAGTTCACTGGTTGATCTCTTCCCACCCACCCTCCGTTCTGACAGATGTGAGGTGATATCTCATTGTTGTTTTGATTTGCACCTCTCAGATGATGAGTGACTTTGAGCATTTTTTCATATGCCTCTTGGCTTTCTGAGAAACTTTTATTTTTTAGCTCCAGCTTTGTGCCAGGTGTGGAGCTGGGTACTTCCATATACATATCTCATTGCATTTATCTCCAGGGATTCTTCCCCGGGATATTCCTGGTCAGTGTGTGGTCTTTTGCCCCTGATCCTGCATCTACCGAGGAAAGCACAGGGACAGAGACGCTTAGAGCACCCTCTTCTCCATCCCACCTTCCTCCTCTAAAGTCACAGAAGAGAAAGAACAGCCTTCAAGACTTAGGGCCCCAGAATCTCTTCCCAGCTTTGCCTCCTTTCTGGGCAGCATCACAGCAATAGGTTGTCACCCAGAGAGGATGGAGGCGAACCTCTGAACATCAGTGTGGTGTGAATGAAAGAGCTTTGCCTTCAGAGGATGTGGGTTTGGATCTCAGGCCTGCCAGCTTCAAGCTCCAGGGTGACCACTGTGCTGATTGGCCTGCGACCGAGAAGTTCCTGACACATGAGAATTCCAGTGCGAAAGCCTGGAAAGTCCCTGCAAGCTGGGGTGAGCGGGTTGTTAGCCCTGTGGTCTGAACTTTTTCCTCTCCCCATCAATAGCCGGCAGGTGCATTCCATATTCGGGGAGAAACCAAACTTCCTTCTGCCTGCTCGCTTTATTGCACTCACGTTTGCATTTCTTTCTCCACTTACTGCCTGCCTTCCTCCCTGGGATGTTTTCTCTGTGAAGGTGGAGACAAGTCTTCCTCGCTCAGCACCTGACGCTGGGTCCACCGCAGAGGTGATCACAGGTGACTGTTGAGGGATGAGCGATGATGCGACTCTAGGAACCTCAGTTTCCTCCTCTTTGGGGATGACTGCTCTTCGGGTTGTTTCTGAGAATAATGAGCTAGCCCAGCAAGAGCCCCGGGACCCAGTGCACCCCTCTTTCTTCCGTCCCCGTGAATGCATGCAGGTGGCAGGGCCAGTTTACTCATCC